AAAAAAAAAAAAGTACTTACTTCATCTGTGCCGCATAATCATCTTCAAAACTTCGAGGAATTGAATTATTCGATGACGAACTAGGGATATGACCGGTACTTGTGGTCGTAGTAGGCTGAAAAGTAAAATCATAACCCATATTTGCCGGCGCAGACATTGCCAAAGAATGTGTCGATTCTAAACTACTGCTTGGCACAAACACTGGATGATGGTTATTGTTATTAAACACGACGTCTTGTCTACCATGGCTTAAATCTGTCATGTTGGAAGAAGATCTTCGATGGATATCCATAGGAAAAGCAGACTACGGCCCTCATAAGTTTATGCTTCAATAAAAATTAAACTTACCGTTGGATGTCCAGTCGAGCTAAACGATTCGCTTCTGCCATACATCGGATATTCGGCATTATTATCTTCTTCATAGTCTTGATGAGATAATGAATTCATAAGAAAGGCATCGTTAAAGTCCAGCGGCTCTGAAGAGGGTGAATCTCGGTTATTGCCACTGTTCACATCAGATAATGGATGAGCAGGTGGCAATTGTCCTGTTGCCATCAAATGGTAAGGTGTAGGATGTCTAAGTCTCAGTGGTTGTTGTGATTTTTGTTGTTGTTGCTGTTGTTGTTGCTGTTGTTGTTGCTGTTGCTGTAGCTGTAGCTGCTGTGGCATAGTATTTGAAGTAAACAAAAAAAAAAAGAGAGAAAAAGCAACTCAATGGGTAAAAAATAGAAAGGGACAGTGGAGTACAAAAATATAATGAACTTAGCCAATCAGAATTAAATAAAATGCAAAAATCATTTGCATATAAAAATGTTTGTTTATCAATGAAAGGAGTCGAAGAGGGGGCAAAGGGTTCAGCATTAAACAATACCAAAGAACATATATAAGCTACTTTATATAAATAGCTTACGACTCTCTTTTCTTTCTTTCTCTCTCTCATTCTCTTCAAATGCTTCTCTTGGTCTTCTTTTTTTTCTGTTTTCAGAGATTATTGGCTCTATCCACTTTTAATGTTACGTTACCTGAGCCCAATGCACCTTTTGTTGCAGGACAAATGTTACCTATAAGTTACACCTTACCAGATGATCCAAATCTATTTCGCAGTAAGATATAAAAAAAAAGGAAAAAAGAGATTATTTATTGGTTTATAGCTTTACATCTATCCATTCTCTTTACCACAACTGACCCCTCTCTTAACCATACTGAAGCAGTTATCACTCCAAACGCAGACACATCACAGAGCTTTACTTTCAGAAAGGTTTATAATACTACAGTCTATTATGAACATCAATTGAGTGTAAGCTATATAAAGTAACAAAAAAAAAAGATAAATAACATGCTACATAGTATTCCATTCCGAACAATACACTTCCTGGTCAATACTCTATCGTCTTTGCTGACTCGATCACTGGTGCGAAAGAATCTGTACCAATTACTGTTCGACCTTATGCTCCACCTGCTCCACCTGCTCGTCCTTCTGGGAAACCATTCTTTGTCATCAGTGGAGCCCCTGCATATGTTATGGTTACATTGTCATCAATGACCACTTATTGCTCTCTTGTAGTTTTCATTATTACCTATTTAGCATTATGAATCACGCCCTCCTTCTTCTAGTTATTCTCGTGATTAATAAATATATACATATATATATATTATCAATTCTATCTATAAATTGGACTTCTTTATCATGAGAACTCCTAGCAAAAAACTTCTATGTTACACTCAAGCACTTTAGCTGATACAGATTTCATTATTCTGTATGAAAGAATATGCTCTGTTAATCCTCTCTCATGTAATATTACTTCGTTTTGTTACAGTCTTGTCCGTCTTTAATCACTGTAATTAGGAATACGAATGAGTTAATAGCCATTGCCTTTTATTTTTGGGGAAGTACAGCGATACTTTTTGTCCTATGGAACTTTTGCCCATTTCTGTGGCTAATACAATGTTCCGTGTTTGGAAATATAAAATTAGGCGATAAAAATAACAATGGCCAACACTATGCACCAGAAAATAGGCTAATGCTACGGACGCTTCCTTGGGGCGCTACTTATATTGTCACTTTACAGCCTCACGCTACCAAAGTCTCCCTACCTAATCTAAGGCTACCCAGTGATGTAAGATACTATGTTTTCATAATTACATGTGAACAAACTGGCCTTTGTTGATATAACTGACAACTTAAAATTAGAATAAAAACAACATTTCTTTTTATCTTTTCTTCTTCTTGAAAAAACACAAAACAAGATGGTGACTTTATAAAGTCATGTTCAGCGTGATGCTACGCATTCAAAGGTTTTGCTGGACAACATCATAGATAGTATCTGGAGGTAGCGTTCATAAGATTGGTCTAACTTTTGGTATATTTTTTGGTGCATGTAGTATTCATCTTATTCCTAACATACCTGAATACTATTTTTTTTTTAAAATGCACTACTTTCCCCACACAAAACTAAAAACTTGGAAAGTGATTGAAGCTGTATATGTTTATGACACGAACATCTTGGCTGCACTTTCTTTGATAACATTGAAATATTAAAAGCAGATTTGGTTCAATTCAGAACCGCTCAAGTTTCGCTAAAAAAAACACATTGATCCCATTCTAGAGGATATTATAGTAAGACATTTCTTCAACGTCTTGAGTTTGTTCATTAGCTTTCTTCTTTGCCTTCAGAAACTTGGCAATTTGAATTGTCTTAAACAAGCCACTTCGGATGATACCGAAACTAATGAACAGCAACCTCATAAAGAAAGCATTCATAAATGAAAATGTACATGATGCAGATTCTGGTGTCCAGTTGGAGTCCGCTAGTTTTTCTAGCTTCAAAATCCCTGCCGTCAGTTCAGTCAAAATTTCAAAGTTTTCTGGTAACTTCATGAATGGAGGTGGGCCAGTAAGTCTAACCTACAGAAAAAACGTAAAGAACCTCCAATTGTATTTCTGGCCTGTTCCTATCTTTTTATATATTTTCATTTGTTTTAGAATAGGAAGCGTTTGAATGAAATATCAAACTTCGTGCTCTTCACTAATCAACCGGTTAGTGAGTTCCTCCCCCATCTTATTGTAATCCTAGTGCTCATTCTTTCTCTTCTTTTTTTCTTTTTACGCCTAGACTAATGTGACTGTAACTGAAGGGCAAAAGGCATATCGATTCACGACGCCTGACCACAAATCTGACGACTTACATCGTCCAAAGCTTAGAAAAGTTCAATTGGACATATTAAAAGCCCTAGTATATTTTGAAACGTCTTTTGTATCAGATTATTTCATTACAATGAGCAAGTACAAAGCTTATGAACAAGGCCAGCACAAGAACAGATCTCTTTGTAAAAATGGGTTGCTTGAACATGTAATGTATCTTGAAAGTGAGGATACACAATTGTTTGTACAACATGTGTGGACAGCTGAGATTGATCGATTGACTGATACACTATCTCCAGAAAGAGATGTCGTGCTGACTTGTCGCTTTTTCGTATAAATTGTATAATAAAAACTGCAAAATACGGCTTCCTATTAAAAGACTGTATAATGGAAAGTTTTGTTCTCAAAAGGAGAGGTTATTTTTAATAAGGCTATTTATATGCTCTGTGTCTTTTGTAGATCACATCTTATGTAATTACATTACTATTATTGAAGTTAAAACTCTTTCCATAGAGCATCAAACTGCGCCTGGAACTCTTGAATACAAAGAGGAATATTAGTAATAAGTACATTTTCTCTATTCTTGAAACGAGCCCTAGTATTCAAAAAAAGTGTAAGTTTGAGATTGATCTTGACTGTGATTTTTACCCTTTGGACCAGTTGAAGCTTCCGTTCACTAGTGTTTGACCGTCGACAATGACAAATTTATTATGCATATAGCCCTGACTATATATATATGTACAGTGTTAGAAATTCCAGGGCTTAGACAAATAGGACAAATACTTACGTATGATCTGTCTTAAAGGGTATACCGTATGATTCCGATAATCTCTTTGCATCTGCGCCTTTACCTGCCGCCTGTTGATTATCAGTAATAATTCGAATAGCTACCTTTCGTTTCTTGGCAGCAATGAGTGCATTTGCAATATCATCGTCTGTGAATGCAAATACGCAGATATCCAATGTCTTTGTGGCCGAGTTTAGTACAGAAATGAATGCCTACTTTATAGTATAAGCATTTTCTTGTTCAGCTCTTTTATATATATATATATATATATATATATATACATTACCTTGAAGCTTTCTTTTGAAGGGAAAAAGAAGGCTTTAGCAAAGTAACCATTGGGTAGGGAATTGGATGAGGTCATGTCTAGGAAATATTTGTGGATTGTCTTGGCACCTGCTCCTTCTTTTACAACAGAAAGAGCTGTTTCGTTGGACGGTACGACTTGATCGCCGTTCTTCTTCTTACGAGGCGATTTCTTTTTCTTGGGTGTATCCATGACAGGCACAATGGCATTTACATCATCATCATCTACTTTAGGTGGTACATAATCATCATCCGAGTCGCCAGATTCATCTTCAAAGTCCTCTTCCTCCTCACGCCACGATAAATCATCGTCATCATCTATTCGTTGGCTCTTCTTTTCTTCCTTTACTGGCTTTTCGGACATAGGATACTTGTCCCCGTTCAAGGCCAATTCAACAGCAGATACTACACAGACTTGCATCCATTCGACCAAAGCACGCTCTCGATCAAAGTGACACGCCTTGGATGCACTCTCAAAGATCGTATTCACTGTTCGTAGCGTATTGCTTGGACTATTGGATTTATTGGATATTAGCCTTTTGATATGCTGGGATGCTTCTTGCTTCAGCTCTGCGTCACTGGAAATGCTATGCGCGCATCGCATCGACTGATAGAAAACAGCTTAAAAAAATTTTTTTTTCACTCTTTGTTCTTATAGTCGTACCTTATCCAGAAAGGCATTGAAGTTATTATCCTTGAAATCTTTAATAGAAAGCGCAGGTGGCTTTGGTATACAAAATAGTTGGTATAGTTGATCCATTTTTTTCTTCAGGAAAGAGTAAAAGAAAAAGAAAATAGTAAAAGGGCTAAAGAGTATATATAGTAGTAATGAGCCTCAATTTGTGTAACTGAAAGTGGTTTAATGAAAGTTTGTGTTCTGCAACTTTACTATATTGAGCATACAAGACTTTTCCGTTACTAGTGTTTAGGCTTTCTTTATACGTAATGCTCAATGACGAACCCAAAGACTATAAAAGGGTTTTGCTAAGGGCGAGCATGATTTACTGCTCTGTTAAGTTATTGTTTGAAGCAAGCAAACTAACTGTCTATGGTCGCAGCAGTTCAAACATAAAATTCATCCGTATCCACAATACGGCTTTTCCCATCAGATTTCTTGGCGATTTCTTTACGTTTTGTCTTTCAGAGGCACATCCGGAAAAGCAATCTACTGTTAACATGCGCTCTTATACCTTCCCCTATGATTCACGGTATTTTTACTCATAACTCATCCGTCTAATACACACCTTTTTTCTTTCAGGTATATCCGTTCTACAATATACACAAAGGTACCTCTCCTGGAATTGATTATAAGCCCCCAGTTTTTTTTTTATGTGTGAACTTTTAATAAAGGTAACAAAAGAAACAAAGCGATGGTTCAAATAGAAATAGATCAACTACTGATCCAAGGATTCACGTGGAAAAATGCTAAATTCATTGTTTTAGTTATCTTCTTGACGAACCTTTTTGTTTCCATTTTTGCTTTTTATATTCTACGTTTTTCATAAACTCATTTGACAAGGATAGCTTCGCCTTTATACCACATTATTTAAAGTCATTCGTTAACTTGTTTGGTTTCTCTAGGCTGATTTTCATTAGCTTTCAGATAAAGATGATTCCAACAGTATTCATCTTGATTGTAGGGCAGACTGATATATGAATGAAAAAGTTTTGGATTGCCCTGGAAAAGATATATGCAAGCTAAATGTGATCAATTACTACAGGTTTCTTTACTGAGCCTAGACGTACTTCATCTATAGACAAACGACTGCCACATCACCCAAGAACTAATGGAATGTTTTTATTATAAGCCATGGTTTTATTACATTACTTTTGTGGTAGTTTGTCTTGTACTACTCTGCCTATCAGGACAAACGAAATGTCTCAGTGCTTAGCATTACCTAGCTCAAAGAAACAAACATTTAATCGAACAGATCATGTATATATCAATCCTTAAAAGGCTAGTATCAGTTAATGCGTGTCTCTTTCTGAATCATCCAATCGATAACATATTAAAGTTTTCTTTTTTCTGCAGATGGTTTCGGAGTAAATGGAAACAGATATGGTTGAGTTTCGAATGCATTGACTTTAAGCAGCAAACAACAACATATGCTCTTTAAGGGAAATTTAATTCTTTCTATTGTTTCTTTATCAATGAATGAAACTTTTCATTCTCTCATGTTCAACAAAGATGTACTATTTTCGAATTTGAAATAAACAAAGAGTCATATGTAACTTGTCATCCATTCATGCTTCCAATCTTGTGCCAGTCTATGCAAAAAAAAAAGGCCGTTTTATATCATTTATTCTTTTATAAAGGATAAATGCTTAGTCATGTACTTTATATCCCTATTCATACTTTTTCAAATAGTTTCGTTATAAAGCATACTTTTCAACAAACAAAAAATGACAATGATTATTGTAGATCCTTATCTGAAACTCTTTTTATGCAGACCTGTTCTAGACAAGATAAGCTTTGTTACGATTCTACTTTGAACAATGATTGGGTTTGAAGCAAGAAAAATTTGAATAAGGTTTATCAATGTTGAATGTAGTTCAAACATGTTTGCTTCACACACAAAAGTTACACAATGGGCGTATTCTTTTTATACACAATAATGACGAATCCCCGAAGCTTCACTTTTTAGAACGCCCATTGTGTGTGTCATGTGATGAAGGACGCGTTCATTTTCAAAATAGCAAACATGTTTCTTTAGTTTAAGCGTATGAGAACGCGAGATTGTTTCTTTATGTTTTTGTAATAGTGAAAAAAAATATGGTCATTCTCCGAGAGGCCGTGTCTCAGGCAATTTTTTTTGAGAAATTAGCCGGAGAATGAATTAAGCCAATAATACAAGCAGAATAGTTTCACCCTATTTCATCATATCGTCTTACCAAGTACGCACAGACAATTTGACACACACACATAAAGCAATGGCTGCTATTTCGTTTATAAACCGGTTAATTTGATATTCAGAATTTTACCCTTTTTTTTTTATATAATTTGTATTTTTGTGAAAAGGGAAAAAATGGAGAATAGTTACTACACATTAACACCAACCTCTTCACAGACGTTTGCTTCCGAAGACAAACAAGAGAATGATAATGTTATCGACTGGCCACTGCCTACTCCCAGTCAATCGAGTAACGCTTTTCTACATGTATTGGCCCCTTCCGAGCTCAATATGTCCAATTTGATGGATCATTCGATATGGCCGTTAACAAATGCGGCGACACCATCCACCAGTACATCGACAAACGCGAGCACAAATTATATGGATACATTTAATCCTTTATTCACAAACGCTTCGAGTTGGTTACCTGAAGTCAAACAAGAGTGGCCACTACAGCATTTTTCTCTAGATCAACCCAAAAGACCACAGGTCATGATGTTTCCTCCAACACCACCCGAGAGCGCACCACTGACACTTATAAATGAAGAAGGACCTAAAAATATGGGCTTCAATCCTATCGTGTACCCTCTCTCACGCCGAAAATCAGCTCGTGAGATCACTCCACCGCCTTCAGCCAGCAACAGTCCACCCAAGAACTGTTTAGCCATCAAACGCACTGTTCGTCGAAAATCAGACGAGACATACAACAAGCCTACTCGCACCTACCGTCGTCGGGCTTCTTCGCATCCTTCTGTCGCTTCTGTTGTTTCACTGACAGCTCATGAACCAGCAACACTCTACATCAATGGTGTTGAACACATCAATTTTCTCTATTCGCATGAACGACAAGTAAGAGAATACACCATTCGCACCGATGTCGAGAGCGTCAATATGGACGACGTACCAGAAGACTTTCGTGGTCAAAATGCTGTAAGTGATGTCATAATACGGTCATTGAATATAATGATTTAATGAATGATAGATCTATCCTAGAGCCAACGTGCCCAGAGAGGAATATGATGGAAACAGATGGGAATATGAAACAACTTGTAACAGATTGGGTTGGCAACTCTGCTGGTTAAACAGAAGTCAACTCTCCGGTCGTCGTGGTCTCATCCAGAGAGCTGTGGATTCTTATCGCAATCGTCATGCCGAAATGCGTTCGCGTCGTGTAACCCGTCAAGAAAAATTGGCAAATGGTACACTTAGAAAACGAAGAGTTAAAAAGTCAAACGATGGAGTTTTCATGTAATTCATCCTAATCCTATACATTTTTTTTCTTTGCATTTTCCTTTTTTTTTTTAATTAAAACATTGTAAATACACCAAAAAGAGCAAGTCCAGAACTTTGTTTGTTTACCACGTTTTTTTAAGTATGTCATATCATACGTTTATTGACAGCCGTGTTTTATGATGCCATCTCATTGGATATAGTTGATGTCATTTAGTGTTTTATTCATATGATTTACAATGCAAAACGGACCTTCTTTGCCTTTTTTGTTTCCTAAGCAACGCAAAATAAAACAATGAGTTTCTATAACAACAAGCTATGGGTTCACATACCACAGGATTTTCTTTTTCTCGCATTGTTTTTATCTTTTGTTTTCTTGATTCAGCCTTCTTTTTCTTTTTGGATTCGAGATACTCTCGTTTCACTTGTTCCTGTGCAGAACGATTAGCTTCATTTTAAGTTTCCCTTTATTTATTACCAATTGCTCTTTCTTATCTTCTTTCTTTTGCTCCTTTTGTGCTTCCTTTTCTTCAATTATTTTGGCAACTTGCAGCTATATGCAAACATTTGAGTGAGAGGGAAAATGGATGTCATTTATGCTTACTCTTTTGGCAAGCTTTTTGTTTTCTCTTTCTGCTTCTTTTCCAGCTGCTTGTTCAATCAATTCCAACATGGCATTCTAAAACTTGTTTAATCTAAAAATGATTTAGATCTTGATCTTGTCTTACTTTATTGCTCAAAAACTTTGGATTATCTAACTCTCCTCTTGATTTCTTTTTATGCTTTGCGATCTTGGTTTTCTTTGAGGGTATCTTTTTCTAGGAAAAAAAATGTATATATTTAGTTTATATACACAAATCAGGTCATATCAATGTTACATTGCTCATGTTGAAAGGAATGGAGAACTTGACAATTCATTGAAAGAGTGGCTTTGATTCCACGTTTTAAATCCCGGTACATTCAAAGTCAATTTTTAAAAAATCAACTTTTGCAACTGATAAAGTAAACTATCATGGTCACACGAGTATGCCATCATGGTACAATGGGACAGAGGAGATGAGATAGGCAGGGAAAGAGGAAAAAAGAGAGATAGAGAAAGAAGGAAGGAGGATTAAGTTACAGGATTTTGGTCTTAATTGGTACGGTTGAAAATTTGTTATGTAAACACGAATATATGAAGTGTTGAACGCGTTACACGAGTAAATGATCTTGGTTGTTGTTATCAACCTTTTCTTTGTTTTTTCGAACTTGTACTACAATAAAAAGACAATAAAATAACTGAATATAAAAAATTTTGGTCTTCATCTACTTGAGTGAGCCGAGAGACAGAGCAGAAACAAGAAAAGGACGAGGAGGGCGGGAACAACCAAGATCACTTACTCGTGTAATGTGTTTAACACTTCATACATTCGTGTTTACATAACACTACACTTCGTAAGACGTGATCTTCGTTGTTAATCCTCTGTTGATCGTCCCTATTTGTGCCCATTTATCACCTTCGAACTTAGTTGTTTCCCTGGCGTATTATTTGAGTTTGTTCTTAAGCTGCATTTTGGAAGAGGCTTCCGGTTCGAGCTGAATATCTTCTTGTAATTCTGGTTGCTCGCCTCTGAGTTCTTGATTTCTGAATCTCTCACGGATTTCTTGCAACTCTCTAATTTCTTCGGCTGTAAGTACTTCATTTGTGATATCTGACATAATGGTTCCATAGTGTGCGGCTTTGAAAGGTATAAAGGGAATACAGTGAAAATTTTATTTAATTACATATAATACTGAAAATAAAGCGCTCTAACCACACCCGAAGCCGGAGTGGAGCCAACAGCGATTGTATCTTTGACATTCATGCAACATTCAATTTCCGAGACCTAATGAATCATTTAGGTTTGGTTAAATTGATATTCTTTTCGTGACACATATTCATTAAAACACAAAAAGACGCTTCTGTTTTTATTCAAATAAGGACCAACCTTTTCTCTAATTCCTTCATTTGCGTGCGTGCATATATGCTTTCATATGTTGACAACTTTTTCCTTTCTTGTTTCTGGTTTTTATTTCTTTTACATCTTGCTAAACAAAGTTATAGTAAGCTAATAAATTCATAAATCATCATAAGTGTTATAAGGAGGAGATGCGTAAATGGAGGCTGCTTGTTTTCGTTTATCTTCATAAGCCAATCGTTCTGTTCGTTTCATAACTACTTTTAGAGTAGTAGGTTGAGGTATCGTCGAATCCTTCATCATTGCTGTCATGATTGATCGGTAGTGAGGTGTAAGTGAGTCAATGTACCGCTTGAACAGTGAAGGCTCACTCAGATTCATGTTGGCATTTGTAGAATAAGTGTAAAACTTTTGGTTATAATTTTGAATGGTATCATAATCTTTCATTTTTAAATTAAGCAGGTATCCTATATATCGTTCTTGACGCGGAGTCGCCAACTTGGCTTGATCTGAATATTGATTCAAGTAGGCTTGTCTGGCTTCGGCCCATGTCATGTGCTTATTGTTGATTAGATGATTTTGAACCCAGGACAGACGATTAGGAGGCACGGCGTGCACAAGTAACGCCCTCCACACAAGACCGATTGACATATTGGCAGATTGAGCAAAGGTTCTGGCGTACATCTCAAATTGGTCCAGAAATTCTTGTGCTGACAATGCTCCCTGCGAGGCCTTGGCCGTAGGTGTAACCAAGGGCATTGTTGTCGTCGTCGTTGTTAGTGTTGTCACTTGTTTGTCTTCTAACCTTGTTATTCCGAATATACCTTCTGCGACATCTGAACATGATCAAATATTAGTGATAAATACAAAATCAATATATGAATTAATGCGCACCTTCTTCAATTACAGGACGATCCAAGTCATCTGTGTTTGCCATCACGATCCGTTCTTCCTTGTCCTTTTGTACGTAATGAAAAGATGAATCAGGGTGCTTCATGCTCTTTATGATAGACATCAGAGCACCAAGACGATCAAACCGATTTACTAAGTTATACAATATCTTCTTTGAACTATCATTTGACGCTTGGAATGTAGATTCAAGTTCTTTAGCGCAGCATAAAAACAGATCCGCAGCCTGAACGAGGGATCGCGTCATGTTTAATAAGTTCTCCCGTTGTGACAGTTTATTATATGGATCAAAGTTATTCATGAGTAAATAAATAATGAAAAAGAAAAAAGAAATAAAAATAAAAAAAGGGCTTTTTATAACTTTTTTATTTATTTATTTTGTTTTCTTTGTTCAGTTTAGCATAATGAAATCTATTTAAAGGGATACCTCAGCAGCCCTATTCCTTCTTCACTTTCTTTCACTTTTTTATTCATTCTCTGATTTCCCTTTTCAAAGGAAAACAAAGCAGGAGAGAAGGAAGGGAATACATTCCATAAACGAAAAAAAAAAAAAATTGTAGAGTTCAATTTAGCATGAAATAAAAGGATAAATTAAATCAATGAAATTTAAAATGATTGGCCCATGCACGCGCCTATCCTTTTTTTATATTTTATTCGATATGTTTACCTTAGGCCGTGTGTCTAGAATGACTAGACACAATCTATTCACAAAGATACCCATTCGTACATACATTAGGCCTCATTACTATGACAATTCATTATCAAAAGCAATGAAACAACAGCAAAACCCTTTTCGACGCATCGGTCGTTTTTTGGACGAAATGGATCATAAAAAGGTACTGTGGACAATGATTGGTACCAATGTTGTCGTCTTTTGTTGCTGGCAATATGCAAAGGACTCTTATAAACAATTTGGTGACTCACGCTGGCTGGACTTTATGTGTCGTCACTTTACTCTAAACAAGACATCGATGGATGCAAGTCAGTATCATACCTTGCTTACCTCCACCTTTTCACATTCCTCATTGCCTCACCTGGCAATGAACATGTTTGTTCTACAGTCCATGGGTGAAGGTGTATTAACGGCCATAGGCACCTCTCGCTTCTTATTGCTTTATACAGGTGCTGGCATAGTCGCTTCACTCAGTTCGTTAGTCTACTCAAAATACATTCGACCCTTGCTGGAAACAAACAAGTTTGGTTATAGACAAAATATGAATACATTATCATTAGGAGCATCTGGATCGCTCATGGGTCTCGCCAGCTTTTTTGCAGCTGCATGTAAGTTGTTGTGTGGATGGTGACATTGGTACACTAAACATTGTATTGCATATTTGTAGTTCCAAAAACTACCTTTTATGTATTCTTTATCATTCCCATGCCTGCTCTTGCTTGTGTAGGCTTGTTTGCTGCAGTTGATGTCTATCTAGCAAGTACATTAAATGTAAGTGACAGTAGATTTTTAAAAGAACATGATCCTAATTCATTGTTTATAGAGCGGTATTCTTGATAGTGCAGCTCATGTGGGTGGTGCTGTGTATGGGCTAGGTTACTGGTTCTTGAGAGTTAAGCCAATGTTGAGGACTGGTCGATGGAGATTTTGATGAGTGTGTGTATAAAGTAATGAGTGTGTGTAAGTAAAATAAAAAAAATGGTATACGTAGTTTGTTCCTCTTTTCCTCTTTGATGAATTGAAAGAGAAAGAGGAAAGAAAGCGTCGTGGCGATCCACTCGCAAGTTCATCCTCTCCTTTCTTTCCTTTAAATCATTCTTTGAATGCTTTTTGGATATCGTATTAGGCTGACTCCCCCCTCTCCTTCTTTTGCTACTTGTCGTAAATTGCTTTTTCATTGGAACGCTGTGAGAGGCTGTAAGAGAAACTTTTTTCAGTTTTATATTACCAAGCATTCTTTTTAGTGCAGATTTACCTATGGTTGCTACAGTTACACAACAAAGGAGTCTTAGGAGGTCATTGATGTAGCCTTTCCTGTATACGCCAACCCAAGTTACTCCTAACATCCCCTTTTTCAGCATTCTCTGCCCTTGATAAAAAGAAAAAGAGGGAAATTTTTAATTTTGATTTTGTGGAATGAAACGTTATTCAGTAATACAACAGCTTTAAATTACTCCAATTCGTATGAGTCTGTTTTTTATCTAGGGCAGTTTTAGGGGTGTACAAAGGGGATCATTGTCGTTAGCATTCATAAAGATCAACTAATGTCAAGAAATGTCTTTATAATTTGTTGTCGTGTCTAAACCAACCCTGATTTGCGCGTCCAATGCTCTCACTTGATTTCTGAGCCACACACTTTATGTTCCTTTATGGTAATAATACAAATAGAAACACTCTTCTTTACGTCTTTCTACCGGCGCGTTAAAGAACACACTGCCGTTATGAACAGCGTGTGCTCTTCGCTTTGGCCCAGATTGAGCAAGAGAAGTGGACTCACAAAAGGCCTTGAAGCTCCTCTTTATACTATCAGAGGCATATCTTCTTTAGCCAGCGAAAACGGAGAGTATATTGTAGAACAAAATCTGAGTGATCAAAGGTAGTCCTTCACTATTCTCGAGAAGTTCCAAGAAATAGTAATTAGCAAAGATAGATATAGTGTATACTAATTGAGTAATGTGACCAACTATTTCTTGGATCAAGGTGTTAATCAAAGGTGTTTTGATCACCAAATTTTTCTCAACTGCATCTTTGGGCTTTGAAAGCTTTGTTATTGCCTTGTTCATAGGACACAACTTGCTGGAAAAACGGACGTGATCAGTCCACTACAAGAAGGACAACGAACTTGCTTTTTGCTTACTATTTAATGCCTTGTTCTATTCATTTTCCCTTTAAAGTACTTCAATTTTATCGACCTTACTCTTATATTTCTTAGCGACTCTGACGGGAGCAGAAGTACAACTAATGGAAGGAGTGGGAACGGTTAATACAAATTTGATACTTGTATGAGTTGAGGTTCCTGAGCGTAGATTAAGAAAAGTTTTTATATTGAATAAATAAGGCGATTCATTCATTGAACTAAAAGCTCATCAATGGTTATTGTATATGTTCGTAACCTACCAAATTCAGGCATAATTGCCTATAATTCATTTCCAAAGGTTTAACCGGCTTAGCACAGTGCTTAAAGTATGTCAAAGCATGATGGTTTAAAAGAGTTAACGATGAAATGCAGCGATTTGTATCAATAACATAATATGTGCGCAACACAATCAACTTTTAAAAACGAAAAAAAAGAAATCATAACTTGTATAGCTTAGTTCTTAGATTTATCTTGTCTCATCGTTTCTACTTTTCTTCACAGAAGAGCATTTCATCTTTATCTACATTGTTAATAACAAACATTAAACTTTGTGCACATTTAAAATAAGCGAATTTACCATCATGCATTTTGTACACACCGGAAGGTGTGCATGCTGGCTGTTCGGCTTCAGCGAATCCTTTGCAGGCTCAGTGTAGAACTAATTAATAGCTAATAGTTAAACAGAGTTCTTCTTTTTCAGCCTTAACTTGACGTTTTGAAGGGAACGCTGAAGCCTTACAAGACCAACCATGCGGGTCCTTGTCATCGGAATGACGCAGTCCATTACCTGCGTCATTACATAGGTGTTGTGATGGTTGTACTCCATCACATACAGCTTTGGCAACAAGTCTATGTCGCTAAATGTTAAGATCATCTTTTTAAAAAAAAAATACAACTCACCTTCTACTATTACTCCACAGACAAGTACATCACAGTAGCTCTTGCTTTTGGCCTTGTTGATGGTCGTCTTCATCTAGTTTCCCAGTTGGACCAAGTCGCCCTTGTGTCTTTGTTCTTCCCTTCCGTCAACTTTCATTTCAATAATGAGGGTTGGACACTCCTCACTGTGTGCTCCCACGCCATAGTCAACAAATGTTGACTTTGTTCTTACTCTGATATGGCAATTTGCCTGGTTCTTCCTTTCCAAATTGTTGTCAAGAAGCGGCTCTGCCAACGCATTGTCCAGGAGGGAGTTTATCAGGAGCTCCTTATATGTTTGCTCTGCAGTAGGCCTTTTTGAGGTTTCCTATTTGTACAGCAATCAGCATTATGTACAAACTTTCATACAACACATCGGTCGTATTTACCTTATAATCATATCATCTTGTTGTAAAAGATTGGTTGAAGAAAGAACAACAAAAAAAGGCTGACCACAAAAGGAGATATCCTTATAGTTGTATTATGCTCAATTCTCATTGGCAATGATTAATGCACGTAATAATCCTATTTGTATATAAAGATGATACTGCTCGTCATAATGAACTTTCTTTCTTTTGTATTAATCCATGTTAATTGGTTATATAGAGACTCATCGATTTCTAGTTTCTATTACTCTTATCAATGCTTCAGTGTTGTACAAGATGTTGTGTAGTGTGCCTAGCACTTACGTCATACACTGTCGCAAATGCTGTGCAGATGTGTTTTGCGCAAAGACTGCTTCTCAGTAAGGATATCATTTTAAAGCCTATCGCGCCTTTAAGGTAACCGATGCAAAGAAATCAAGCAAAAGGAGCGCGCGCGGGAGCCAATCTCTATCTCCCTCGATTGAACCCCGAAAATAGGGAGTAGCAAAAAGTGCGCCATTGAAACTATACACAAAATCACGAGTACGCGTTCGGATATGGATTTCAAGAGCGTGAAATACTTGGTAAAAGAGAAAGATTGCTTTAGAAAATAGTTGGTCGTTGGTATGGTGGATTGTGCCTGTTTTGTGTCAAAAGAAATGTAGCACCATCGTATGTACTGTTAACAAAACTCTTGTAAAGCTTTCGAAAGCGGTATATATATACTATTTGAGACAAATAGAAAAATATAAAACTAAAAAAAAAAGACAATCATCCGATCTAATGGGTGAACTGTTAATGTTGATTCAAATGCTCATAATGAGAGACTTAGTCGACATGAACACAGAAAAGTATACCTTCGCCCAACTCTACCTCGGAAAATAAATGTCCTGATGATTTCGGCTCATTGTCCTAAGTAATTTTTTTCTGAGAATAAAGCGTAGCCAGAAAGCCTATGGCCACGTTGCATGAATCGACTTGATAGACAGTCTATCTCTCGTCTTCATTTTTGAATTAGCCTCAAAAATTTAATTTACAACCATGCCATTTTTCTTACCAATAGAGATCATATTTAGCTTTAATAATAATGAAAGCGCGTTCCAGAACAAAGCAGCACGTTCGGGCAAACTATCGGACTAAAAAGAGATATCATAGCCGACCTTATTCCCAAGACTCGTGATCACATTTAGTATGCTCATACTATTTCTTACTTCTGTACAAGGACGTTCCTTTATATATGAACCAAGTTGTCTCTCTTTTGCTAGCGGTATGATGATATGTATGTCCAAAATTGGATATATTGAATTTTTAGAATACTTGAAAAGTTAAAATCTCAAACGAAACCAACCTTTAGCTTGGCCGATTTGTAAGCTTTTTGAAATGTAAAAGAACCTATCCGAACAAAAATGGAAATGACTTTTGCATATGTTCAAGCCTATTGCTCCAAAGTATCCTTTGGCGCCATTTCTCCACTTTGGTGTTCCTTTTTCCGGAAATAAGGTTGTGTTGTAAACGGATGCTTCACCAAGTTTAGCCTTTGACTACTCTACGTCAATACGTGATATATATACAGTTATATAGACAAAGAAATGTTGACCGCAACATCGCTCTCTCTTTGTAAAATCTGTCACGAACAGACCTTACCAATGGCAATAACTGCCATCCGACTCCGTCATGGCTGTTGGTTGGGGAATCACCGATTTCATTCCAACAAATAGTTACTTTTCATCTCATCTTTTGACTTTTAGATTTTAGTAAAGTTATATGAAAACATAGTCCGCGATCCTATCTATTAACTCTGCTGATAAGCTCATTGCTGGTTTTTTTATTTTCATTATTATTTTTTTTTTTTTTCGTGTAGCGTGCACACGACGGTTTTGTTCACTTGCCACGAGATGAAGGGAGCACAAGCGTAGGCTTTAGCTCCATTGCCCCTCAGAACGGAATCCTTGTTATTCCGATAATAAGCGATTCAAACCGGGATGATTGAAAGTTTTAAGGATTTTAACATGGCGTCCTTTTTAAATGGCATCATCAAATAGAGGAGCAAATTGAATAGAGAAAAAAAATAGACCACATATTCCTTCTTTCTTTTTTCTCTGGGAATTTAAAAGAAGTTGGGGGAAAACAAAAGACTTTTTTTATCCGAAACAAAAAAAAGACAAGCATCTGCAAACAAGCGTGTGATTTAGTCATTTCCGAATTACTTTCTCTTCCAAATAGCAATCTTTTCTCTTCCCAATCTTGGTTCATGACCCTTAGCATCCTTGATGAAGATCAAGTCAAAATGAGCAGATAATAAATCCTTATACCTAAATAAAACAGAGTTATGAACTGTTTTTGTTTTCAACTCATCATCTTACACTTGTTCGCTGACAGCATAAGGTGGGCCACCTTCATGGTTATCGATAGGATACATCAGTGTAACGAAAACGCCGCCTTTTTTGATAATCTCGCTGTATCTCTTTGCCCAATCAGGTCTGAGAACAGGTGGTAAAGCACATAAAAACCTAAAACAAAAATAAAATAAAAAAAATCGTACAAGTTTGTGTGTGAATATTACGTGTAATCGTAGGCAAGGTCATAGCCTCCATCAGGGACATCAAATTCGAAGAAGTCAGCACATAGAAATTGATAATTATGCTTGGCAGCATCAGGATGGTTCTATAATGATCCTATGAGTTTTAAGTTTTATTGACGTGAATGGAGTGGTACCTTTAACAATGACTCAACACAAGAAGGGCTCAAGTCAATGCCAGTTACGTGTCTCTTTTCGTTTGCCAAAAAGACAACATCGTAGCCTAAAGTATCCAGACATTAGGAAATCGTCTATTAAAAAAAAAAAAAGTTACCTGATCCGCATCCGGGAACAAGAGCTTTTCCATGATCAGGAATAAGGGAACGTGTTTCTTCATTTTCAAACAATTCAACCAAAGCAGGACTAGGCTTTCCAGCATCCCAGTTCGTCGTTCCTTCCTTCCAATGACCTTCCCAATCGTATGTATCAATATCTGCAAGATATAAAAGGTAAATATGCATTCTTCATAAACCAGGGTATTAACTAACCTGCCACTGTCATTATGATTAATAATAAAAAGAAAAAGAAAAAGCATCAGGTTATTAAACAAGAGCAAAGCCGATGATTGCATATATTTTACCGGATATCGGCAATACAAAAAAAGTTGAGCCACATGAAAAATGGAGGGCGTGAAACGATCATTCATCCGCTTCTTTTTAATAAGGTTTATTTTTTCTCTCTCTGGCTAAAAAATAAACGTTCCTTTTATCCTCCTTTGGATCTTTCGTATCCCCACGTTTCGTTCTCCTACTTATATCCCCTTTTCTCTCTCTCTGTCTCTCTCTCTCTCTTTTTCTCTTTCTTTCTTTTTTTTTTCTTACCTTCTGTCCCTCCCTTCTTTACACCCCGGTTCATTCAAGAAACGTTCCTCCTTTCCTTTACTATAATGAATACCACAAGTACCACACCCTTGGAAAATGTAGCTGTCAAGCTGGTTACGGATAAAACAAGACGCAAGCGACTTAAAGTGATCAGTGCATGTTGTGAATGTAGAAGAAAAAAGACTAAATGTAATGGAGAGAAACCTTGTGTTGGTTGTATAAAGACAAATGTTGAATGCAAGTATGCCAACAATAACAACAACAATTCTCAACAATCCATCAAGACGGCAAGTAAATCAGCTGCTGCTACTTCTACTTCTACAACTACTACCACAACACCTACAACCCCTATTGTTGCCAATGCTAATAATACGACAACAAATACTTTCAACACAAATCAAATGAATGACATAAATAAACTTTCCCTTCAATCGATCGAACAACGTCTTGCTGCTATTGAAGATATTCTCCAGCTACTATTGCAACAACAACAACAACAACAACAACAACAGCAGATTTCGGAATCTCGTCATATGAACTCCGGTTATCCCTCATCTCATTCCGGTAATTATTACGGTAAAAGAAAGCATGAAGAGGTAGATGATTACTACTCTATCCGATTGCCTCCTCCTTTAAACTATTCTGAATCTTCCTCTTCTTCATCCGTTTCCTCTACTTCTCCAAAATTGAATACAATTCAAAACTTGTTAAATGAAGGTGATAATAAACAACATTATCATCCATCAAGGCCCTCTGCTTTTTATAGATTAACTGCCGGTTCAGATACTCGTTACTATTAACTATTATTATTATTACTATTTATTCTATTTTTTTGCTATCTTTCTTATACCCTTTTTTATATAAACACAGTTAAATAATAAAAAAATTAAAAGCTGACTTTTTTCTTTTCTTTTTTATATAAAAATGAGTGAAAAATACAGACACTTGAAAGTAAAAGAGCTTCAAGGTATTTTGTATAAACATACTCAAAAGGGGAGGCTACTAATAACATATTTAAAGAACTCTTGGAAAAGAATGGTCTTTCTCAAACAGGCAAAAAGGAAGAACTTATAGAAAGACTAGTAGATTATGATAAGCGCAAAGAGTTGGAAAAGTTGGAAAAAGAATTCAATTTGGACGAATTCACTGATCCAAAGCTGTGAGTCATTCTTTTTTTATATCTTTTACAAAGTGTTAATCATGTACTCTTTTTAAGTCATTCATTTGACATTTTGAAAGAAAGTGTTCTTTCTGATGACGATGACTTACTGGACGACGAACTCATGACTCCTCTTCCAACAACAACAACAGCAACAAAACCCGCTACTACTCCTACTACTTCCACTGAAAAGACAACGACGACGGCAACGACAAAAGCAACAACAAATGAATCCAAGCAAGAACAACCTGCTTTCAAGTTTACCCCCATCACCTTTGAAAAAAAGGCATCTGCCAAAAAGGAAACTTCTATTTCAGACCAAGCCAAACTAGATGCTCAAAAGAAACTGGAACGAATGAAACGTTTCGGTGTGAAATTAAGCGAAGAAGAAATGAAACAGATTCGTGCTGCGCGATTTGGTACGTTGAATGAACAAAAGAAACAGGACGTCACCACAAAGACAAACAAAAAGGTCGAACAAGGCAAAGTGACTAAAAAGATAAAGACACCCATCAAGAAAAACCTATCGACATTGAATAAAAAGCCCATCAATATCGATCGCATCGTAGACAAACTGAACAAGACTCAGTTGGCTGCCAAAAAGGACAAGAAGCATGATGCTAGAACCATCGTATTTGAAAATGGCAAAAGAAACAAGGACAAGAAAAAAACAGCTGATCATACGACGCAGGGTCGCATTGTCACTATTGATCATGCAACACCACAGCCCAATCGTGCTGTCAAGATTCAGAAAAACAAACATGCTTCTCCTTTTGTTAATAAGAAAAGAAATGTTTTCATTCAGCAAGAAAAAGCTCAGGTATATAAAAAGTGGCCTATTGGCGACTGGTGAATTAACTGTCTTGTGTGTAGAATTCAAAGTTCAAAAGGAGAAGAACATGATACCCTTTCGTTTTTACATGATAAAAAATAAAAAAAAAGCCGTCGATTTTATTACCATTAAAAAAAGCAAGAAAAAACATGTACAAGAGACAAGCATTTCTTTTGCAACACTAGAGGGTAAGTTTTGATAAACAACAAAGAGAAAAAAAAAAAAAAAGACGATAAACATCTATTTAGGTTATAACGCAATCCTCTGATTGTTTTCTGTTGCTCTTCTTTTTTATGTCCCTGTTTGAAGTCACTTTATGCTGCTTGAATGATTCTGCCTTGTTCATTCGCTGCAGTGATAAAGCATGAGAGAGTAAAGCTTGATTCGCGATCAATGCATTCTGCTCCTGCGGTGTCAAACCTAGAGTCAAGACATATTGTCGAATACTTTCTGCATCTTCTGGCTTTAATTGATGAAAGAGCGCGTTATTCATCATACAGGCCTTGGAATCAAGCGACGATGGACGACGTCTGTTGTATATTTTTGCAGAAGACTAGAAATATATATAAGGTATATTGTTTTCACATCTTTTTTTACACTTACATCGTAGGATGGTTGTTGATCGTTCACCTTGGGAGGACACAAGAAGGCAGTTTTCTTACACTCTTCATGACATATCAGTGAGCATACTGCGATAAAGAGAGATATGAGATATAGGGCCAATACAAATGTATCCATTTACCTTCACAAAACAAAGATTGACCTTTCAACAGATCACCACACACTTTACATTCAACTTCTGCAACTGGAATTAGTTATATAGATGGATCTATTTTGATATTTACCAAAGGATGTATGAATAAAATGATGATTACTACTATGATCATGGCTGAACTCTAGTAAAGAAGTCTTCAAATGGTCCACGGCTGCTGTTTCGTCATACAAAGTAACCTGACTTTCACTACTCGTAAAGCTAGACAATCTCCTGTGCTCATCACCCAATGGTGATGCATATGACTGTAGATAATTGGACAGTTCATGAGCGTATGTCTCTGATTTTTTCATGCGCTGTAAGCTTTTGACGATCCATTTGTGTTGCTTCAATTGGCTAGCTGATGGACGTGCCTGAGGATCCTTTTGAAAACAGGCAAGTAAGAAGTCGCGCATATCTTTGGAGATAGTATCGGGCAAAGGCGGGTATTTATCTTCAACGATGCGAAACATGGCAGACATGGAGATCAGGTCGGCATAAGGCGGCTTACCCGTGACAAGTTCGATCAGGGTGCAACCAAGTGACCAAATATCTGATTTTGTAGAAGCTCCTTTTAGCTCAATGACCTCTGGTGCCACTATAAAAAAAAAGGTAAGCCTCTTTTTTTTTTTTT